TGATCCCCAGAGCTTAAAGAAGACACACTTGATCTTCCTGTGTGATACTGCATGGCCATGGTATCCATTGGAGGACGGCGAACAGTGGCCAGCTGGAGGATCTCTTAATTATAATACTGTTTTACAATTAGACCGGTTCTGTACAAAACAAGGGAAATGGGTAGAAGTAGCATATGTGTTGCCCTTTTTCTCTCTGCAAGACATGCCAGACTTAAGTCCTAAGGGTATAGATTTGGGTATGAAATCTATATAGATTGTCCTCCCCCTTGTCCTCCTACTTTGTCTCTGTACCCGGGGCTCCAACCTGAGCAAGCTGAAAGTCAGAGAACCCCCACAGGAAGGATTGCCTTGGTCTCAGTAAAAACCTAAACTGAGATTCAAACTGCCCAAGTAGAGGTCCAAACAGCTGAGAGGGTAACAGGCAGGAAGGCCAGGGGCTTTTTTGAGACTGCACCCAAGTACTGCAGTTTGTACTCTCTTGTTGACTGTGAGGGCTGCTCCATTTCTTCTAAGGGATTCTTGCCCAGAGTAGTAGATATAATGGTCATCTGAGTTAAATTTGCCCATTCCAGTTCATTTTAGTTCACTGATCCTTAAAATGTCAATATTCACTCTTGCCATCTCCTGTTTGACCACTTCCAACTTACTTTGATTTATGAACCTAAATTATTCCAGGTTCCTAAGCAACATTGTTCTTTAAAAAAGAAAAAAAAAATACTGTTTTACAATTAGACCGGTTCTGTACAAAACAAGGGAAATGGGTAGAAGTAGCATATGTGTTGCCTTTTTTCTCTCTGCGAGACATGCCAGACTTAAGTCCTAAGGGTATAGATTTGGGTATAAAATCTATATAGATTGTCCTCCCCCTTGTCCTCCTACTTTGCCTCTGTACCCAGGGCTCCAACCTGAGCAAGCTGAAAGTCAGAGTACCCCCACAGGAAGGGTTGCCTTGGTCTCAGTAAAAACCTAAACTGAGATTCAAACTGCCCAAGTAGAGGTCCAAACAGCTGAGAGGGTAACAGGCAGGAAGGCCAGGGGCCTCCAAACGGAGGAAATAGGCTGCAAGTGTCAGACGTTTTTGTCTCTCTTAAGCGGCAGGAGGAAACAAACTAGCGATATTTTTTCCTTCTCTATACAAATTTAAAAGGAGGTTTCTCTTAAAATACTGTGTTGCCATGACACCTGGTTTCACCTGAAGCTAACTATTCTCAAACCTTGAGTTAACCAATACATTTTTCTTATGGAAATGTTTGTCTTAAGCTATGCTAATGTACTGTGCATTTACCCCAGACTCTGTCTTTAAGTCGGTTCCACCTAATGGCTCAGAACCTACTTGACAAACCAGTATGTTATACTTAGATATTGTTCCCCTAATCTAGGTAAACGAAACTATTTGTATGCTAATCTGCCCTACTATAAGATTCAAGTCAATCGTTTTATGGCCCAGGATGAATCATCTGGTGCCAAGATTATCCAAAAATGCATCTTATGGATGAGGGGCCTGGTGCCATTCTGAGTTTTAAGACATTCTTTTCTTTTCATTAACAGACTGCTAGTGACTATATAGCATCCAGCTGAAGACTAGCAGGGGGGTACTCTTTCTGCCCCCTTCTGATACCTATGTCAGAAGCTTTCTCTATCTCCTTTATACTTTAATAAAACTTTATTACACAAAAGCTCTGAGTGATCCAGCCTTGTCTTTGGCCCTGGATTGAATTCGTCTCCTCTGGAGGCCAAGAATCCCGGCGTCTTATCATTTACAACAACTTTTCACAACCCATCTCAGTACAACCTCAGACTACTCTGGTTTCAAGAGAAACTCAGACAATCAAAGTAAAAGTAGCTCAGACAGCAAAAACTAAGGGTGAAATACAGAATGAGATGGAGGACAGGAGACAAAGAGGTAAAGAAAAGCAGGTTTCTCCAATCTATCCCTGGGATCATATACGCAGAGCAGCCAGAGAGGCTGAGAATAGCCACACAAGCTGTTGCCTCTTCATGAAGCACCCACCAGGAGAAATAATCAGTGTATGAGAGTTAATATGCCATTTTCTTATCAACAAATACAAAGAATCAAGGAGGATCTGGGAGACTACTTAGAGGACCCAGAAAAATATATTAGAGCTTTTAAAGGTGTTACTCTGCTTTATGACCTTCCTTGGAAAGATGTGATGTATATCCTGGGACAAACACTAACTCCCAACTCGAAAACTCAAGTTTTGGGGAAAGCGGTTACCTATAGAGATGAATGGCTTGGTAATGAATCAGTAGGGAAGAGGAAGGAGAAGATAGCTGCCCTCCCCACTGGGAATCAGGCTGCCCCAACTATAGAACCAGATTGGGACTATAACACAGCTAAAGGAAGATGGGATCAGAGTCATTTTGTCAGATGTGTTCTTGAAGGACTCAGGCAAGCGTGTGCTAAGACTTTAAACTATGCCAAATTGGAAGACATAGAACAGGAAGAGAAGGAAGCTCCTGGTAAATTCCTAGATAGACTGAGAGAAGCCCTTTGCAGATTCACTGAGATTGACTCCAACAGTGAAGAGGGAGAAGTGATCTTAAAGGATAGATTTCTCACTCAGTCTGTTCCAGATATCCACTGTAAGCTATTAAAACAGGCATATGGACCAAATCAGTCTTTTAGGTAATCTGTTACAACTGGCTCAGACAATCTATTACAGCAGGGAATATGAGGGAAAGAAAGAAAGGCAGAGAAAGACAAAGGAACAGGCGGAAGCCCTTGTAATGACTGTAAACACCATTCTTAAACAGCCTGAGAAAAATGCCCAGAGGGACCCAGGTGCAAAGGGATGGGCTTCCTATTACTGTGGAAAGGAGGGGCACCTCAAGCGGGATTGCCGTCAGGCATCTAAGCAGCCCCCGGCTCCGTGTCCAGTCGGCAAGGGACCACACTAGAGGAGAGACTGCCCCCAGAGGCACAGGTTTCAGGGGTTGGACTCTCAAGACAATCAGGACTGAAGGTGCCCAGGGGTCCCCATACAAGCTCCCATCCTAATTACACCTGAGGAACCCCAGGTATTAATAATTGTGGGGGGCCAATCCCTCGATTTCCTTTTAGAAACTGCTTACTGAAGCTCCTGGCCCACTTTCTTCCCTATCCGCTTCCATAATGGAACTGTCTGGACTAGCAAAAAGGTATTATTTCAGTTGTCTTTAAGCTGCAACTGGGACTCTGTGTTATTTTTGACACAAGTTTCTGATCTTACCAGAGTCTCCCTCACCCCTTTGGGGGAGGGATATACTGAGCAAGGTCCATGCCTCTGTTTTCAAGAATATGGAGTTCTCCCTTTCTTTCCCATTAATTGAACAAAATGTAAATCCTAGAGGGGGGCTGATGGAAAATCTATTGGTCAAGCACAAAATGCTTTCCTGTAGTTGTCAAGCTCAAAGACCCGGATTTATTTCCACATAAAAAGCAGTATCCACTGAAACCTGAGGTTACGGAAGGGTTAAAACCCATCATTGAGAATTTAAAGGAGCAGGGGCTATTAATTCCCTGTAACAGTCCATGCAACACTCCTATTTTGGATATAAAGAAATCAAATGGTAAATGGAGACTAGTACAAGATTTATGAATAAATGAGAATAATAAATGAGAATAATAAATAAATGAGGCTGTAATTTCTTTACACCCCTGGTGCCTAATCCTCATACTCTATTGTCTGAAATTCCTGAATGAGCCAAATATTTCTCAGTAATTGATTTAAAAGATGCCTCCTATTCTGTGCCTTTGGCAGAGGAAAGTCAATTTTTATTTGCCTTTGAAGACCCTACACAGCCAGCTTCTCAGTTAACCTGGACAGTTTTGCCCCAGGGATTTCATGATCGCCCTCACCTATTTGGGCAAAGTTTGTCACGGGATCTACAAAACTTTAATAGCTCTGAGGCAGTGGTGCTACAATGTGTAGATGATATTCTGCTCTGTGCTGAGACAGAGGAAGCTTGCTCACAAGCCTCAGAAGATTTCTTAAGCTTTCTAGCAGGCTGCACTTATAAGGCTTCAAGGGAAAAGGTTCAGCTTTGTCAACAATCTGTTAAATATCTGGGCCTAATCATATCAGAAGGGACTAGGGCCATAGGCCCTGAGAGAATTAAACCTATACTAAATCATCCCCTACCTATGACTCTAAGACCATTGAGAGGATTTTTAGGAATCACGCTACTGCTGCATTTGCATTCCAAAACAAACTGGTTTGGTCTCCAGATTCTCAAAGGCTTTTAAGGCTCTTCAGACTGCTCTCCTGCAAACTCCTGCTTTGAGCTTACCCACAGGGTCAGAATTTATTTTGTCACTGAAAGAAAAGGTATGGCCTTGGGAGTTTTGACACAAGCCTGAGGGCCTCACCGGCAGTCTATAGGAGTGGAATCTTAAACTCTAAGGTTAATATTTGGATGATAGACAGTAGGCTTCTTAAGTACCAGTCATTGTTGTTAGAAGGATTAATAACTAAGCTTAAAGTTGGTGGAAATTTAAATCCTGACACTTTGCTTCCTAAGAAGGAAGATGAAACACCTGATCATGATTGTTCCCAATTTCTAACTTTAAACTATGCAGCTCGGGAAGATCTGATGGATTCCCCATTAGACAATCCTGACCTGGAAATATTTACAGATGGCAGTTCTTTTGTTTTGGATGGGAAGCATAAAGCAAGTTACACTATGGTGAAGGCTGAACAGGTTTTAGAAGCAAAATCTCTCCCCCAGGGAATGAGTGCTCAGCTAGGGACCAGAGCTCTAGAGTTAAGCAAAAGGCAGCAAGTAAATATCTACACTGATTCTAAGTATGCTTACTTGACTTAACAAGCTTACACTGCAATGCAGAAAGAAAAACAGTTTAAAATGGCAACAGGAGAACCTATTAAACATTTCAGAGAGATCAAGAGACTTTTAACTGCTATACACTGTCCTAAAGAAGTAGCTGCTGTGCATTACAAAAGATACAGCAGGGACATAGTAAAGTAGCTGAAGATAATCACCTGGTTGACTGTCAAGCCAGAAAAGCAACACTTTACAAAATGCATTCACTGCAGATGCCTTTCATCTGGAAGTTCCTGTGGAATAGGAAAAAAACACAATGTACTGAGGAAGAATTAGAAAGATACTAGAAAAGAGGAGCAAGGATTACTGATAAAGGATGATTACAGTTTGAGGATGGACAATTAATAATTCCTGAAAATGCTCAATGAAAAAGTTTTCCTAAAGCCTTGGAACTAGCTTATTATGTAACTGAGCTCTCAGCTTTTCAACAGGCATTTATGGAACTCCAGGAGGTGACTCCTGACCCAGCCATTGAGTCAAGCAAGTGTCTATTTGAGCCAGGAACCAAGGTCCTGATAAAAACATAAGAATCTGGGGGCCAATCCCTCGAGCCCCTCTGGGAAGGCCCTTACCAGGTTATTCTTTCTTCTCCCACAGCTGTCAAAGTGCCAGGAATTGATTCTGGGTGCACCACACTCAAGTGAAGAGGTGGTACCCTGACCAGAACTAAGTGACGTCATTATATGTCTTTACTTTCTATGCTCTGACTTTGTGCTTTTCAGATGGGCCTGATAATCTATGTGAGCCTGCTTCTGCTGACTCTCAAAAATCCTGAGTCTGCCCTTTGACCCTCAAGACAATGCCTTCCTGTCCTGGGCTCACTCCTACACTGCATCCCACAATCAGTCTAACTGCTGGGTCTGCAGAGTGCTCCCCTCTTCATCAGTAGAGGGCTTCCTGTGGTGGACATCTTCACTTCAAGGAAAGGACTTTCTCCAAGTCTGTGACTACCTTCGACAACAACAATCATACTCATGCCTCTTCTTCCTGCATCTGTAACTGTATAGTTAGATTTGTTTCTAGTTGCATGAAGGCTTTTAACTTCCAAATGGTTGTTCAAACTCCTGCGACTACAGCAGCTTTCCCCAACTACTACCTGGGGCCCCTGGATCAAGAGACCCTCAATATGAGGGTTAGGAAAATATGTTGCCCCACCAATTTAGGGACAACACCCCTTATCAGCTTGGAAGCAGTTACAGAATGAGAACAATGCCCCTTTCCCTTGGCAACATAATTCTACTAAAATAAAAGGGGGAAATGAGAAGGTAACAGGCAGGAAAACCAGGGATCTCCAAACAGAGGAACAGGCTGCTAGTGTCAGACATTTTTTCTCTCTCTCTTAAGTGGCAGGAGGAAACAAACTACAAGTGTTAAGATTTTTTCTCCTTCTCTATACAAATTTCAAAAGAGGTTTCTCTTAAAATTCTGTGTTGCCATGACACCTGGCTCCACCTGAACTTAACTTTTCCCAAACCTTCAGCTAACCAATGCATTTTTCTTATGGAAATGTTTGTCTTAAGCTATGTTAATGAACTATGTATTTACCCTAGACTCTTGTCTTCAAGTCGGTTCTGCCTAAGACACAGAGCTGACCTGACAAACCATGCAAATATTCTCTTAAGTTATGTTCATGAAACTGTATTTGCTTGGAAACCTGTCTTTCTTCAAGATTTATGTCAGTCATTTTGTGGCCCGGGAAAACTCCCCTTTTGCCAATGTTATCTCAGAATGCATGATGTGGGTGAGGGGCCTGGTGCCATTCTCTGAGTCTTGAGACATTTCCTTTCTCTAATTAGCAGGCTGCTAGGAGCTATATAAGTGAAAGTGAAAGTTGATCAGTCGTGTCCCACTCTTTCTGACCCCATGGACTGTATAGAATTCTCTAGGCCAGAATACCGGAGTGGGTAGCCTTTCCCTTCTCCAGGAGATCTTCCCAACCCAGGGATCGAACCCTGGTCTCCTGCATTGCAGGTGGATTCTTTACCAGCTGAGACACAGGGGAAGCCCAGTAGCTATAAAACATTCAGCTAAAGACTGGGGGGGNGGGGGGGGGCACTCTTTCTGCCTCCTTCTGATGTCTATGTCAGAAGCTTTTTCTATCTCTTTTATACTTTAATGAAACTTTATTACATAAAAGCTCTGAGCGATCAAGCCTCATCCCTGGTCCCAGATTGAATTCTTCTCCTCCACAGGCCAAGAATCCCGGCATCTTTCACAGTTCTAAAGGAGGAAACAGACAGAACAGGCTCTATCTTGAAAGCAGGACTCCATCTTGGACTGTGGACTCTGAGCTCTATGCCCAGTATCTATGGAAACAACATACAAACTGGAAAACCAGACCCCCGGAAGGAAGAGCCCCAGGGCTCCTACCTAGACTTTCCATCACCTAAAAGAATACCCTAATTATCTGTGTAACTATATAGAATCTCTGATCTGTGAATAGGATATTAAACTTCTTAACTGGACTACCTGAACTACTTGAACCATCAGGATAAATAACTCCAGATTTTTCATTTTTAAAGAAACTAAATGTATGAGAAATTTACAGAATGGAGAATGAAAAGGTACTTTTTTAGCTTCAGGATTCATCCTTGCAGTTTTAAATGCAACATTATCCTGATTTTACTGCATATTTTTTCAGTATCCAACATCTTACTAATGCCACATTCTTTTCTGGTTAACCCCTACAAAAACCTAGAAGGAAGGATAATTTAATTTTTGAAGAGGGGAAAAGTTACCCAGAATTAATCTTTCTAGTTTTTAGTGATTTGGTGGAAGTTTCAAAGAGATAAGTAGAGAGAAAAGATATTTTTAAGAATAATAAAATTTGTTAGTTGCTTTATGATATTTCTGAGAATTCTTAAAATATAAGAATTCAGAAGGGGCATTTGACATGATTTGACATTGGATCTCTTGTTAAGATAATTTTCTACCAAATCACCAATTTCTTTGAACTATAGGGGCCACTGTCACTGGGGATATCTTGACTGATTTCTAAATACTGCTAGGGTTAAAATATGAAATATGCAAATTTCCTTTAAAAATTTAGATGTAAACAAATAAGAGAACTGCTGTTGCTTCTGATGGTCAGAGGCAAAGGACAGCAGCCCTGAGAAAAATCCCATTCTTGGATCAGAACTCCTCAAGTGTACCATCTTGGTGCACTTACCTGCCATCCCAAGCATTTTCTTTAAAATAGATACAGATGGCAAGAATGTGTGAAGTCGCCAGTGACCAAAAGTAGAAGAAACACAATCTCCTTTAGTCTCAGGTATGTGGAGAAGGCAATGGCAACCCACCCCAGTACTCTTTCCTGGAAAATCCCATGGATGGAGGAGCCTGGTAGGCTGCATTCCATGGGGTCACTAAGAGTCGGACGTGACTGAGCGACTTCACTTTCGCTTTCACTTTCATATAGAATCATACATTCTATTATGCTTATTCGGGTATGACCACAGGCCTATTGATAATTGTCCACTGTTAACTACCTAGGCTTAAGGCATATTAATGACAGGTTGACTTTGATTGTATCTTTCTTTTCCCTTTGTCCAGACTAGCTTCATGGAATTTGGGGAGGTGGATTTGGGCACGTACACTTAGGGTATATAAGGTTTTCACAAAAACTGGTTGGAGTGACTGACTAAGAGGAGACTCTGCCTTGGGCCCGCTGGTGTAACAACCTGCACTCCACTATCTGCATTGTCCTTCTGAGTGAGTTTTTTTTCTGGAACGTGTGGCTACTACAGTTCAGCAACAACCTTTCACTACTTCTGTGCCACCAGTTCTTCCAACAGTCACGATAATCCGGCCCCCAACTGAGTCTGAATTCTCTGTCCATGGCTACTACAACAATCCTGAAGACCACCCAGGGGACACTCTAAGAAGACAGATCTACAGTGGTTAGGAGTTTGAAGATAGGCCTAGATTCAATCTCGACTCTGCCTTTTATTACCTGTGTGCCTTTGGCTAAGTCACTTGTGCAAATCTCAGAAGAACCTCAGTCTCTGGTTTGAGGATAAGAAAGTGGTGGCAGGGATAAGAAAGGCTGTTATGTAATTAGAGGTCATCAGTATTCAGTTCAGTTGCTCAGTCATGAACAACTCCTTGTGACCCCATAGACTGCAGCATGACAGGCCTCCCTGTCCATCACTAACTCCCACAGTTTACTCAAACTCATGTCCATTGAGTCCATGATGTCATCCAACCAGCTCATCCCCTGTCATCCCCTTCTCCTCCTGGCTTCAAACTTTCCCCGCATCAGGGTCTTTTCAAACGAGTCAGCTCTTCACATCAGGTGGCCAAAGTATTGGAGTTTCAGCTTCAACATCAGTCCTTCCAATGAACATCCAGGACTGATCTCCTTTAGGATGGACTAGTTGGATCCCCCTGCAGTCCAAGGGACTCTCAAGAGTCTTCTCGAACACCGCAGTTCAAAAGCATCAATTCTGAGGCACTCAGCTTTCTTTATATTCCAACTCTCATATCCATACATGACAACTGGAAAAACCATAGCTTTGACTACACAGACCTTTGTTGGCAAAGTAATGTCTTTGCTTTTTAATATGCTTTCTATGAAAGGTTGTTGCTAAACAATAAGAGACCAGAATTCTGGGCCTCTGGAGGAGATGAATTCAATCCGGGGCCAGAGACAAGGCTGGATCGCTCAGAACTTTTGTGTAATTAAGTTTTATTAAAGTATAAAGGAGATAGAGAAAGCTTCTGACATAGGCATCATAAGAGGGCAGAAAGAGTACCCCCCTGCTAGTCTTCAGCTGGATGTTATATAGTCACTAGCAGTCTGTTAATGAAAGAAAGGAATGTCTTAAAATGCAGAATGGCACCAGGCCCCTCATCCATAAGATGCATTTTTGGATAATCTTGGCACCAGATGATTCATCCTGGGCCATAAAACAATTGACTTGAATCTTGTAGAAGGGCAGATTACCATACAAATTGTTTCATTTATATAGATTAGGGGAACAATATCTGAATATATCATACTGGTTTGTCAAGTAGGTTCTCAGCCATTAGGCGGAACTGACTTGAAGACAGAGTCTGGGATAAATGCGTAGCACATTAGCATAGCTTAACACTAACATTTCCATAAGAAAAATGTATTGGTTAACTCAAGGTTTGAGAATACTTAACTTCAGGTGAAACCAGGTGTCATTATGGCAACACAGTATTTTAAGAGAAACCTCCTTTTAAATTTGTATAAAGAAGGAAAAAAATATCGCTAGTTTGTTTCCTCCTGCGCTTAAGAGAGACAAAAATGTCTGACACTTGCAGCCTATTTCCTCCATTTGGAGGCCTCTGGCCTTCCTGCCTGTTACCCTCTTATCTAGGTTGGTGATAACTTTTCTTCTAAGGAGCAAGCGTCTTTTAATTTCATGGCTGCAGTCACCATCTGCAGTGATTTTGGAGCCCCCCAAAATAAAGTCTGACACTGTTTCCCCATCTATTTGCCATGAAATGATGGGACCAAATGCCATGATCTTAGTTTTCTGAGTGTTGAGCTTTAAGCCAACTTTTTCATTCTCCTCTTTCACTTTCATCAAGAGGCTCTTTAGTTCTTCTTCTTCACTTTCTGCCATAAGTGTGGTGTCATCTGCATATCTGAGGTTATTCATATTCTCCCAGAAATCTTGATTCCAGCTTGTGCTTCTTCCAGCCCAGCGTTTCTCATGATGTACTCTGCATATAAGTTAAATAAGCAGGGTGACAATATACAGCCTTGACGTACTCCTTTTCCTATTTGGAACCAGTCTGTTGTTGCATGTCCAGTTCTAACTGTTGCTTCTTGACCTGCACACAGGTTTCTCAAGAGGCAGGTCAGCTGGTCTAGTATTCCCATTTCTTTCAGAATTTTCCACAATTTGTTGTGATCCACACAGTCAAAGGCTTTGGCATAGTCAATACAGCAGAAATAGACGTTTTTCTGGAACTCTCTTGCTTTTTCAATGATACAATGGATGTTGGCAATTTGACCTCTGGTTCTTCTGTCTTTTTACAATCCAGCTTTAACATCTGGGTGTTCACAGTTCACATACTGTTGAAGCCTTGCTTAGAGAATTTTGAGCATTACTAGCATGTGAGATGAGTGCCCAGTAGTTTGGGGATTCTTTGGCATTGCCTTTCTTTGGGATTAGGATGAAAACTGACCTTTTCCAGTCCCGTGGCCACTGCTGAGTTTTAAACTTGCTGGCATATTGAGTGTAGCACTTTCACAGCTCGCTGGAGCGGCAGATGCGTGACGCTGGAGCTGCAGCTGTGAGGAGATACCCCACATCCAAGGGCAAAGGAGAAGCCCCAGGAAGACAGTACGAGAGGTGAATTTGCATTTAGAATCAAACCCCATACCCGCCAGAGATGCTCAGAGAGCTGAGATACCTTGTGTGCACCAGGACCCAGAGACCCCACAAAGACTGAGACAGAACTGTGTTTGGGTGTCTCCTCAGGAGGTATGGGTCAGCAGTGGCCTGCTGTAGGGGCAGAGGCTCTGGGTGCAGCAGACCTGGGTATGACACAAGCCCTCTTGGAGGAGGTCACCATTAACTCACCATAGAACTGCCAGAACTTACACAGGACTGGGGAAACAGACTCTGGGAGGGCAAAGACAGAAACTTGTGCACACCAGGACCCAGGAGAAAGGAGCAGTGACCCCACAAGAGACTGATCCAGACTTGCCCATGAGTGTCCAGGAGTCTCTGGCAGAGGCGTGGGTCAGTGGAGGCGTGGGTCAGGGGTGACCTGCTGCAGGGATGGGAGCACTGAGTGTAGCAGTGCATGCATGGGAACTTTTGAAGGAGGTCGTCATTATCTTCATCACCTCCACCATAGCTTGGCCTCAGGTCAAATAACAGGGAGGGAACACAGCCCTACCCTTGAACAGAACATTGAATTAAAGATTTACTGAGCATGGCCTCAACCATCAGAGCAAGACCCAGTTTGCCCCTCAGTCAGTCTCTCCCATCAGGAAGTTTCCATGAGCCTCGTATCCTTCTCCATCAGAAGGCAGAGAGAATGAAGACCACAATCACAGAAAACTAACCAATCTGATCACGTGGACCACAGCCTTGTCTAACTCAATGAAACTATGGGCCACGCCATGTAGGTCAAACCAAGATGGACAGGTCATGGTGGAGAGTTCTGACAAAATGTGGTCCACTGGAGAGAGAAATGGCAAACCACTTCAGTATTCTTGCTTTGAGAACCCCATGAACAGTATGAAAAGGCAAAAAGATATGACACTGCAAGATGAACTCTCCAGGTTTGTAGGTGCCCAACATGCTACTGGAGATCAGTGGGGAAATAACTCCAGAAAGAATGAAGAGATGGAGCCAAAGCAAAAACAACACCCAGTTCTGGATGTGACTGGTGATGGAAGTAAAGTTCGATGCTGTAAACAGCAATATTGCATAGGAACCTGGAATGTTAGGTCCATGAATCAAGGCAAATTGGAGGTGGTCAAACAGGAGATGGCGAGAGTGAACACTGACATTTTAGGAATCAGCGAACTAAAATGGACTGGAATGGTGAATTTAACTCAGATGACCATTATATCTAGTAGGGTGGGCAAAAATCCCTTAGAAGAAATGGAGTAGCCATCATAGTCAACAAAAGAGTCTGAAATGTAGTACTTGGATGCAATCTCAAAAACAACAGAAAGATCGCTGTTCATTTCCAAGGCAAACCATTCAAAATCACAGTAATCCAAGTCTATGCCCCTACCAGTAATGCTGAAGAAGCTGAAGTTGAATGGTTCTATGCAGACCTACAAGACCTTCTAGAACTAACACCCAGAAAAGATGTCCCTTTCATTATGGGGACTGGAATGCAAAAGTAGGAAGTCAAGAAATACCTGGAGTAACAGGCAAATTTGGCTTGGAGTACAGAATGAAGCAAGGCAAAGGCTAACAGAGTTTTGCCAAGAGAAGGCATTCAAACACACTCTTCCAACAACACAAGAGAAGACTCTACACATGGATATCACCAGATGGTCAATACCGAAATCAGACTGATTATATTCTTTGCAGCCAAAAATGGAGAAGCTCTATAGAGTCAGCAAAAACAAGACTGGGAGCTGACTGTGGCTCAGATCATGAACTCCTTATTGCCAAATTCAGGCTTAAATTGAAGAAAGTAGGGAAAACCATTAGATCATCCAGGTATGACCTAAATCAAATCCTTTATGATTATACATTGGAAGTGAGAAATAGACTTAAGGGACTAGATCAAATAGACAGAGTGCCTGATAGACTATGGACGGAGGTTCCTGATATTGTACAGGAGACAGGGATCAAGACCATCCCCAAGAAAAAGAAATGTAAAAAAGCAAAATGGCTATCTGAGGAGGCCTTACAAACAGCTGTGAAAAGAAGAGAAGCGAAAAGTAAAGGAGAAAAGGAAAGATATACCCATTTGAATGCAGAGTTCCAAAGAATAGCAAGGAGAGATAAGAAAGCCTTCCTCAGTGATCAGTGCAAAGAAATAGAGGAAAACAATAGAATGGGAAAGACTAGAGATCTCTTCAAGAAAATTAGAGATACCAA